ATAGTGTGTGTGCACATACATTCACACGTATTTACAGCCATAGCTTCGATCCTTACTGTTCCAGCTTCCAGTTCTCATCCAAGACCGCTGGCTCTTCCCAGCCTCCTCCTGTTCCACAGAACTATCTTCCTTCGCCGACGGGAACCTCACTCCCGACATCCTCTATGTGTGTGCTCATTTCTTCAGGTCTAGAATACACATTGCAGGATGGTTAACCCACGCTGCCGCAAAAGCAAACCCGCCGATACGTCCACGTCGGTATCTGCCTGCAAGTTTCTTTTGTCTTTGGGTGATTCCGAAGTTAACTGAGTTAGTTCTCCCCGCCTTTGGGTGGGAATAACTATGCATTTGAAATATAATTAGGTTTATTTGTTTCTGTTTGTATTCAGTTTTAGATCCCTGCACGCTTGTTGACTGAATTGTGTTTTTGAGTATGCAGAGCGTTAAACATCTAAATGGTACAAAAATGTAGGCTTAGAGAAACCCTACTCCATTACCTCTCGCCCTCGTTCCCACCCCCTCCTTCTAGGTAACTGATCTCATTAGTTTCTGGTTCTCTCTCCTGGGCTTCTTTCTATAGAAATAAACAGATAGCTGTGGAGTATGTTCCGTTCTTTCTTGCAGGGAAGGTGGCATACTATTTATATTTTCTTGAGCTTGATACGGCTGTCACAGCAAAGTCCTGCTCTGGGTGGCTTAAGCACAGATGTCTTCACATCGTCTCTGTCTGTGTGTGTCTGTGTCCATAATCTCATCTTGAAAGGACCCGTCACACTGGATAGGGCCACCCCCATGACCTCATTTTAACTTAATTACTTCTGAAAACACCCTGTCTCCAAACACAGTCCCATTCTGAGGTACTGGGCATTAGGACTTCAACATATGGATTTGGTGGTGGGGGGGAGGTATAGACACAACTCAGTCTATAACATTCCTTTTTTGCATTTTACTTTTCTTGCTTCACAGGATATTCTGGAAATCCCTTCATGTTAGTCCATGGGGAATTATTCTCAATCATTTTATGTTTGCACCTGAATAATACTCCATTATGTGTATGTATTATAGATTATTCATTAAATTTCCCCTGGGTGGCATCTGGGTGGCTTCCAGTATTCTGCAATTACTAATAAGGCTGCATTGAATAATCTCGTGTGTGTTTTTGTGCCGTTGGGATGTATCTTCAGAGTAAATTCCCAGAAGTGGGATTGCACGTGCAGTTTGTTATATATTACCAATTTCTCGTTACGAGGGCCTTTTTGTTCTGTCTACAATGTCTCTTAACACGTTCATGCTTTCTCTCTTTAAAATCTCTCTGATGCATTCTTTTCCTTCCACTTTATTTATTTTAAAGTGACAGCATGGGTGGGGAGAAGGACAGAGAGAGAGAGAGAGAGAGAGAGAGAGAGAGAAAGAGAGAATCCCAAGCAGGCTCCATGCTCAGTGCAGAGCCCAGTGTGGGGCTCGATCCCATGACCCTGGGATCATGACCTGAGCTGACATCAAGAGTCAGACACCCAACTGACTTAGTCACCCTGGCGCCCCTCCCTGATGCATTCTGAGTGATTTCCTAGCTCTGTCTTCCAAATTAATAACTCTCCTTCAGCAGTGTTTAATCTTCTGTTTGATCCATCCATCCATCGAATCTTTAATAAAGATAACTGTTTTGTATGTTAAGAATTTCTCCTTGGTTCCAAATCCCTCCCTTCTTCATTTTGTTCCCTTCTTTACTTATGGCTTCTGTTCCTTCGTTTTCTGAATTATTTTAAATATATTAGTTTGATGATTTCTTTCCTTTTGTTTTAGTAGCACGGCATCGTGGGATGTCAGTTCTGCTTGTGGCTTGTACCTTACTCCCTTTCTGGGTCATCTGTATTACTGTGATCTTCTCTTCATCCCTGGGCCGTGAAGGAGTCCCACAGAGTTTTCAGGGAAACTGGGAAAGTTCCAGGAGCTCTAGGTCGGCTTTCATCTTAATTTCTTGGCTTGGGTTTTTATAACACAAAGGACTGCACATTTTGACTCCACGCCCAGGTGATGTACAAGCCTGGTTTTGGGTTATTTCTTTTTAATGTTTTTTATTTATTTGAAAGAGAGAGAGAAGTGAATGAGTGGGAGAGGGGCAGAGAGAGAGACTCAAGCAAGGCTCCATGCTGTCATTGCAGAGCCTGACGGGAGGCTTCATCTCACAAATGGTGAGGGCATGACCTGAGCCAAAATCAAGAGTCGGAGGCTTAACTGATGGAGTCCTCCAGGCGCCCCGAGCCTGAGTGTTTCCATGATCATGGATAACCTCTTCCCCTTACTCATGGATGCGGGTGGATGGCAGAGCCCTTTATAGCCCCCTCAACCCAGGAATGTTTCTGACTCCCCATTTCACTGAGAGGGCTGCCCTTTGGGGCTTCGGGCTCCGTCCCAGTACTCTGCTCTCGTTCTTCATCTCACACGCGCCAAGAGCATGTGGGCGTTGAAAGCCAAGTGTCCAGGCCCCGGGTCCCATTTCTGGGCCCTGGCCCCCCAAGAATTGCTGCAGCTTTCACACCTGCTCACTCTTCTGGCCTCAGGTTCCGTTCAGTTTCTGCCTTTGTTTGTTCCCATGTTTCTCTGTGTTTGCAACAAGGTGGGGGAGCGGAACGTTCACCTGCTCTGACTGCTGTGCTGCCCCAAGTCAAAGTGATCTGATGGCCAGTTATCTTGACTTTTAAAAATTCATTTCTATGAATTATTTGTATATCCTGGACCTCTGAATATGAAGAGTGTGTGTGTGTGTGTGTGTGTGTGTGTGTGTGTGTGTGTATGCATATCTCATAAATATCTGTTACTATTCGGTGGGTTAGCTTTTTTCTCTCTTTTTTTATAAAAATTTTTTAATGTTTAGTTTTTGAGAGACAGAGAGAGAGACAGAGAGACAGTGTGAGCAGGGGGAGGGGCAGGGAGAGAGGGAGACACAGAATCCGAAGCAGCTCTAGGCTCCCAGCTGTCAGCAAAGAGCCCGACACGGGGCTCGAACCCACGATCCGTGAGATCATGACCTGAGCCGCAGTTGGACACTTAACTGACTGAGCTCCCCCCTGGGCGCTCCGCCTTTTCCCTCTCTTAACAGTACCTCTGATAAACGAAGTTCTTAATTTTTTAAAATTTGATCAGAAAATAGTCTAATTTACCAATTTTCCCCTTCACAGTTAGTATTTTTGGGTCTACTTTAGCAATCTTTGCCCACTTGGAGGCTGTGAAGATAGCTTTCTAGGCTTACCTGTAAAAGCTTTAGACCTGAAATCCATGTGGAATTGACTGTAGTTTGAAGTATGAGTCAAGGTACATTTTTTCCTTTATACTGGTCTGTCCAGTTGTCCTGGCGCCCGTGATTGAATAAGTACTTTTAATCCGTGGTGTTGGGACCAGTTCCCACGTTTGCAGATGAGGAAATGGAGGCTCGAAGAGGTGTAGTATTTTGCTGTAGGTCACAGAGCCGGTAAATGGCAGAACCAGGATTTGAACCCAGATTTATTGGATCCCAAATTCAGGGCTTTTCTCTAGGCCACTGATGCTCATTGCCCAGCTACCAAATAAATGGCGTGAAACACAGTCATCGGATGCTGCCGGAACGGACACTGTGGGGCTGTGAGCTTATGCCAGGAGGGCATCTTGACCCTGAAAATGTGGGCCATGCACCTGTCGGGGTTCATAGGCCTGTGGGGGTGGTAGGCATTGCCCATGGTGGCAGTGTGTTTCTCGTGAGCAGGGAGGCTGCTAGGTGCGGTGCATCCCCCCTCCCCCCGTGCACACGCGCACGAAGGCGGTCACACCCGTGTGGGGAACAGGGCTTTCCTAGCTGCTCATGGCTGCCTGCAGGCTTTGGCTTTAACCTGGCTTCCTGTGCAGCCGGTGAGGGCCAGGGCTTGGGCGCCCACCTCCACGTGGCGTTTGCCACGGGAACCAGGACCTTCAGTCCCCTCGGTGGCCTTTAGGTGGGGACGATGACCAGGGAGGCTCCCTGGCGTGGGCTCTGCTGGTAAGGAGGGAGGCGTGGCAGGACCCCCTGCCAGCAGTTGCGTGAGACGCCTGCGCCTTGCGGGCAGCCCCGGCTCAAAGCTCTCAGGCCGGGCGCTCGAGGGGGAAGCCGGAGAGCTGGGGCAGGAGCGTTGCTGGAAGACGGAGGCGCAGGGTTACGGGGGCAGAGGCTTCTGGAGAGGAGCCCGGGCCACGGGGCCAGCGGGGGGTCTTATCCCTGCCCAGGCGAGTTCAGTGGCCCAGCCGGGTTTCTGCCTCTCAGGGAGGTCCTGGCCGGTGCCGGCCTCTTGTTTTTGTGTTTTAGTTACGTAAGTAAATACACACACACACACACACACACACACACACACGGTCGGGAGAAGCGAAGGAGCACCAGGGCGTGTCCGACAGGAGCGCAGGCTCCTTACAGCCCCCCCTGCTCAGGCCCTGCTTCCGGGGCTGACCGTTTATCCACAGTCGCCACTGCCCCCGTAAGGGCACCCAGACTCTCCGACTCCCCACCATGGACTGTCTCCGTGTCTCCGCAGAGACAGGCAGGAGGTGAGCACGTCACCGCCCCCCTGCCCCCCGGGCTTGCTGGCCGTGTCGGGCGCCGTCTCCGGTCCGTTGCTCCCCAGACCCTTGCGCGAGACTCTTGACCGCCCAGGCCCCGCCGGCAGCGCCGTAGGCCCTCACGCACCCCACACCCAGTCCCCAGACTCCTCGTGGGTGCCGCGGAGCGCGTCTGTCCCCAGGTCAGCTGCGAGGAGCGCTGGGCAGGCCCGCGCCCTCCGTGTGGGAGGCCCAGGCGGGTCGGAGCCCCTAGACAGGAGGCAGCGGGTGTGCGTCCTGGTGTCCCCGCCGCTTCCCCCGAAGGCCAAAGGCCGCGCTCACAGCCTCTCGGGTGGCCTCTGGGGCTGCGGGCGCGGTCCCCTCCCGGCGCTGGGCCTCCGGGGGGCGCGGGCTGGCGTGGGACGAGGCGCGAGCGTGCGGCTCTCTCTCGGCCCCTGTAGGAGGTGTTCCGGCGGCACCGGGGGCTGCAGCTCCTGGCCCTGGTGGAGGAGGTGCTGCCCCGGCATGGCAGTGGCCGCCGCGGGGACTGGCACATCTCCCTGAGCAAGCCCAGCGAGAAGGAGCAGCACCTGCTGATGACCTTGGTGGGCGAGCAGGGTGAGCGGGGGCGGCTCGTGGAAGGGAGGGCCCAGGGGGGGGGGCACTAAAGCAGCCCCTTCCCTGAGGGCCGCGGGAGGCCTGCAGACCCAGGGGAGCACCCAGACGGGGGCCTTGAACCCTGGGAGAGCGGGATGAGGTCGTGGTTGGGCCCCGGGAGAAGCTCTGGAGAAGGAGGGGAGTGTGAAGGCCGGGGGGGGGTCTGGTTTCAGCATGGGGGGCACACTTACTGGTGGCGGGCTGCTGCGGAGGGGGCACATTCAGAACGCAGCGCATGGGGCTGTGGGAGTGACTGGCTGGTGTCACACCTGTCACATGGCGGTCGTTCACTCAGCCCTTAGCAAGTCAGCCTGCGGGAGGCGAGCACAGGAGCGCAGACACCACGAGGCCCGTGCGTGGCGGGAGCTGGGAAGCGGGGTCCTGGGAGCCCGGGCCGGAGGCCGTCTCGGGGAGCGGTGGTGGGGGGCGCCTCGGCGGCCGCGGCTGTGCTGACGACGCTGTCCCCCCCCCAGGGGTGGTGCCCACTCAGGATGTCCTTTCCATGCTGGGCGACATCCGCAGGAATCTGGTGGAGGTAAGAAGGCAGGGGGCTGCTCCCTCCCGCTGAGGAGGCGCCTTCGTGAGGCCGGGAGACAGCTGCGCGCTGGTGCGGGAGCGGGCGACACTCTAGCTCCGGGCACCTCCTGCTCTCGGCCGGCCTAGGACACAGTCCCCGTGGGCGAGCCGGAGCGCGTCTGCACACGTGTGCACGTCCGCACAGTTGGGACACGGCCGGGGGCCGGAAGGGCGGGGTTGGTGGGCAGGAGAGGACTCGGAGGGAAGGGGGCTCCGAGGGGATCTGGACCTTAGGTAAGTGGGGGGCTCGGGGAAGACGGCGGAGCAGCGCCAGGAACGGGGCAGAGGCCTGGCGGGGGCGGCGGGGGGCAGGGAAGAGTGTGAGGGAGTTTCAAAAACCACAGGAGAAAGGCAGGCAGGAATGTGGCCCGAAGGCCATCAGCCAGGAGCTCCCGGGTGGGAGAGGGGCTGCTGGGGAGTGGGCACGGGGCTCGGGCTCTGGAGACACAGCCCTGCCGTCCCGAGGGCCCCCCGTCCCAGCGCACGAGGGCAGGCTGGCCGACCTCTCCTCCTGCCCCACCTGCCCCCTGCGTCGGGCTGCACAGAGCCGGGGCCGTGGGAGGGGCAGGTCCCCCCCACCGCCCCCCTGGCCCTTGCTGTACCTCCTGTGAAGGGCAAGGCCGCGGGCACCCCCTGTTCGTCTCCCTGCAGAGTGCTTGCCCTCACTGCTCACCGAGAAAAGTGGAGACCTGGCGTTAGTCCCCAGGGCTGTGCGGCACGTCACAGCTGTGACAGAGGAGCTGTGCCTGACCGTGGCCCCGCCTCCCTTATCTGTCACACGCAGGCGGAAGCCCGTGGTGGTGCTGGTTTGGGGTGGCTTCGATAAGCATGCTGAGTGCTTACTAAGCGCTAGCCTGCGCCGGGTTCTCTCCCTGCCACCGCGGGCCTTGTCAGGACTACGTAAGGTGCCGTGGAGTACTGGAGGTGCCTGCTATGAGAGCTGTAGCCCAGAGAAGGGAGGCAGGCCCCCCGAGAATGCACAGCCGCTAAGCCACAGAGCCAGGCTTTGGACAAGGCCTGGAGGCTGTGAGTCCGGGCCTTTAGCCGTGAGGCCGCCCTTGCTGCCTGGATGGTTACCGAGGACCTCTGTAGTCTTGAAGTTCTGGGTTCGTGAACACGGGGGGACTGGCGGAAACCTGGGCCGGCCTTGATCTTTTCCCCCCCACAAAAACTTCCTGCCTCCTCTGCCGGCCCGTGGACACTGTTCAGACTGCCTTGGCCAGAGGCACGCTGTGTCTTTGTGGAAGAGTCTAGTAGTGGGCAAATTCAGCAACTTCAGTGGTGGGTGATTCTAGCAAGAGAAACTGATCCTTGAGAACTTAGGCCCATGGAGAATAGTGTTGTAACTAAACAGGATGTTCACAGACACCCAGGAAGAGACAGACCCTTGGGGGGGCCCTGAGCAGAGAGGGGAGCTGCCAGGTCTCCGTCCTGGTAGCTAGGAGACCACACCCTCTCCCTGGCACTGGATGAGGATGGTACCTCCCCTTCCCTGCTTTCTGCCCGAGAGCCAGGCACTGTGTGGGCACAGCAGCCCCCTGGGAGCAAGAAGGCAGACCCACCCAAGACAGCCTGGGGTGTGTGTGTGTGTGTGTGTGTGTGTGTGGCGGGGGTACTGGGCAGCCCAGTGCCCTTGGGGACCGCAGACCCACTCAAGACAGCCTGGGTGTGTGTGTGTGTGTGTGTGTGTGTGTGTGTGTGTGTGTGTGGTGGGGGTACTGGGCAGCCCAGTGCCCTTGGGGACCGCAGACCCACTCAAGACAGCCTGGGTGTGTGTGTGTGTGTGTGTGTGTGTGTGTGTGTGTGTGGCGCGGGGGTACTGGGCAGCCCAGTGCCCTTGGGGATCGCTCCTGGTGGGAAAAGGGGGGAAGCTGGGGGCTGGTGGTAGCCCAGGATGTAGGCTGTCCCCAGATCCCAGTCTACACTGTGCAGCCCTGAATGGTCAGAATGACACCTAAACACCTCTCCCCCGCAAGGTGGAAACCGTGTTTCAGGGGCTTGATTTGGTCGTGGAGCCAAACGTCTGCCCCACAGCAGGGACGGTCAGGGCAGAGCCCCAGCGGGGATGGGAGCGCAGGCTGTGAAGGGAGGCAGGGGATCCAGAGGCTTGGGGCCGCCGGCAGGTGAAGTGAGGGGCCAGGACAGAGACAGGGCTGGACCCCCAGAGGGGCACAGACGGGCCCCTGCGGGAGCTCGGTGGGGAGGATGCCAGCTCTTTCACAGCCTGCCCCCCGGCCCTGTGGGGAGCCCCGCACCCAGGACCTCAGCTCACCAGGCTGGCCCCTCCCGCCCCCCAGATTGGCATCCAGAACTACTCCACTACGAGCAGCTGCCAGGCACGGGCCAGCCAGGTGCGCAGCGACTACGGGACGCTCTTCGTGGTGCTGGTGGTCATCGGCGCCGTCTGCGTCATCATCATCGTCCTGGGCCTGCTCTATAACTGCTGGCAGCGCCGGCTGCCCAAGCTCAAGCACGTGGTGAGCGCGGGGGCAGGACGGCCTGGGCTGGGGGCGGGGCCTGCGGTGCCGACGGAACGCAGCAGGTCCGGTCCCGGTCCGGTCCCGGGGAGATTCGGTGTCCTCACCGGCCGGTGGGGGGGCGGGCAGCAACTGCCCTGGGATGGGGTACTTGGAGGGAAGCTGTCCTGAGCCTGGCGCCCAACGTGTCCCTCTCTGCAGGGAGCCAGCCCTCTGATAGGTGCTAGAGGTGCAGTGGGGGCTGTCGGGAGCGGTCAGGTGACGTCGGGGTTCCGTGGGTGTTTAGTGCCAAGGGGAACAGAGCGGCAAGGGCCGGGCATCCTTGGAGGGTCTCCCAGACGGGGGAGGGAACCGCCGGTGAGCGGACCGCGTTCAAGGTCACGGGCGGGGCGGGCCGGGCCACAGCACGTGCCAGCCGCCTTCTCCCGTCGCCACAGTCCCACGGCGAGGAGCTGCGCTTCGTGGAGAACGGCTGCCACGACAACCCCACGCTGGACGTGGCCAGCGACAGCCAGTCGGAGATGCAGGAGAAGCAGCCCAGCCTGAACGGCGGCGGGGCCGTGAACGGCCCGGGGGGCTGGAGCGCGCTCATGGGGGGCAAGCGGGACCCCGAGGACTCGGACGTGTTTGAGGAGGACACGCACCTGTGAGGGCGCTCGCCCTCCGGCGGCCCTGGCCCGCTGTGAGCCCGCGGCCGCGCCCTCGCTCCGTGGGGACCGCGCCGGGACGAGCGGGGCGGGCCCGGGGCGCACGGCCGCGCCTCCCCTCCCCTCCCGGCCCCGGCCGCTCGCTCCCCCGCCGCCCGGCCCCCCCCCCGGTGCGGGGTCCTCCCGCTTCCCACAGACTCACGGAGCAGTCTCGGCACAGCCCTCCCCATCCCCACCTGGCGCCCCCCGGAGCCGGTCCCGGAACGGCCCCGCTTCCCCGGCCGCGCCCCGGGACCCCCATTAAAGCCGCCCGGAGACCACGCCGGGCCCAACCCGTTTGCCTGCCGGACTCGTTCTTGCTCCGCGGCGGGGCGGGGCGGCCGGAGGGGGGCGGAGGGGGCGGGGCGGCGCGCCGGGGGCGGGGCAGGGCGGGGCGGCCGGAGGGGGGCGGGGCGGGCGCGCCGGGGGCGGGAACGCCGGGGGCGGGGCGGGGCGGCCCAGGTCGGTCCTCCGGTCGCCAGGCGCCGCTGCGGAGCGGGGCGGGGCCGGCGTCTGTTTACATCCGGCCGGGGCGCGCTGCCGCCGCCGCCGCCGCCTGAGGTCGTTCCGCCGGGGTCCGAGCCGCCCGCACCATGGACACGAGCGATCTCTTCGCCAGCTGCAGGAAGGGGGATGTGGGCCGAGTGCGGTGAGGACCCCGCAGCCCTGAGAGTGTGCGGGAGGGGGTGGCGTGGGGCGCCCCCGGGGCGTGCGGTGGACGGGCTCGGGACAGGCGCGCGCCCCTGCGCCGCCGCAGCCCTGCGCCCGACCCTCCGCGGACTGACCCTCAAGGGGCAAAGCAGGGGATCCGCGGCAGCCTTCCGAACCGGGGCTGGGGACGGGGTGCTGGCATTATTTACTCCCTGGGGTCCCGGAGGACTTCCTGGAGGAGAGGACTGCTACTCGGAGCTCCGGAGAAGTGGGCAGAGGAGGGTCGCCCTCCGAGCGCTCAGGAGCGGAGGTCAGACCCTGGGGCAGGCCCGGGACTCCAGACGTGGCTCATCCCACGGATGCGCTCTGAACCGGGCACTCTGGGAACACCCAGGACCCAGAATCCGTCTCTGATCCTCGGGGAATTCGGAAATGCCTAAATGCGGTTTAAGCACTGACATCGCCGTAAAGCAGGGAGTGAGGGGGTGCCTGTTGGGTTGTGGGGCACGTCTCTTCGCGGGCCCTCCCCCTTCCTTCCGTGTTCCCTAGTTCTGACCCACCACTAGCTCCCCTGGGTGAGTCCCAGGCTTTCTGACTCGCACAGTGTCCCTGGTCCCTTCCTAGCATCAGGTGTCACCTAGGAGTTAGCTGGTCCCCCACAGCCCACTGCGACTCAGAGCTGGCCTCGCCCGACTCAGACATGTCCCCCAGGCCGCCCGCCCTCAGGGAGGGCTTCAGTCCGATGACCCCCCTCGCCTCTCACATCCGTCAGCCAGGCTGTCGCCTGCCTTCTAGAACCTGTCCACGTCTCCCCATGCTTGCACACCACGGGGACACCTGCCGCGGCCTTCCCCTTGGTCTCCCTGCCTCCAGTCCCCTCCCGCGAGGCCGCCGTCCCAAGCAGCCAGAGGCCCTGGCGGGAAGATGCCCGTCACCACCCCCTCTCTCCCGGACGCCTTCAGGCCGCAGGGCCCTGCTCGGGGCTCAGTGTCCGCCTTCGGCCCCTTTGCTTCCAGTGGTGTCCTGCCCTGGTCGGCCTGGGCCCGGCACCTGCCCGCCTGCGGGAGACTCCCTCGGCCCAAAGGGAGTTTTCTCTCCGTCCCCGGGCCGCGCACCTGTCCTCACCGCTCCGGTTCCTCCCCGCCCAGGTACCTGCTGGAGCAGCGCGACGTGGAGGTGAACGTGCGGGACAAGTGGGACAGCACCCCCTTGTGAGTGCCGGGCGGGGGGGGCTGGGTCCCCGTAACCGCCGCTGGGCGGTCAGGGCGGGGGGGGGGGGCTTCGGTCCCCTGACCGCCTCCCGACCCCCTCCCCTCCCCGCAGGTACTACGCCTGCCTGTGTGGCCACGAGGAGCTGGTCCTCTATCTCCTGGCCAACGGTGAGAGCCGGCCCGGGCTGTGTGCGTGTGCGCACGTGCGTGTGTGTGCGCGCGGGGGCACGGGCAGGGGTGTGCGTTGCCGATGCTCTCACGCCCTCTCTCCCTACCCCTGCACGTACCTGGTCAGCAGGCGCTGTTGGTCCTACCTTCAGAAGCTGTTTCTCAGCTGTCCGCCCCCCCCCCCGTCCCTGCCGTCGCCCCCGTCCCCGCCGCCGCCCCCCCGTCCCCGCCCCCCCTCCCCCCCGTCCCTGCCGCCCCCCGCCCGCAGAGCCAGCCTCCTCTGTTCGCCCGCTGCCCCTTTTGCGCCACTTACAGTCTGTTCTCCATGTCGCAGCCTGGTCCATCTCTCATCAAGTCTAATAGGCTTGGAGTTTCTCCGACGATTTCCCACCGCGAGTGGCGAGAAACTCACATGCCTGGCCAGCCTGTGTGACCTGCTTCCTTCCTCTGGCCTCCCCCGCCTTGGCCCTCCTACGTGCTCACTCTTCCAGCCCACTGGCCCCTCTGGCACCCCTACCTCAGGGCCTTTGTACGTGCTATTCTTCCTATTTAGAGCGCCCTTTCCCAGATCTTTGTGTGGCTGACTCCCTCTATCATTCGTGTCACTGCATCTTGTCGCTGATGCAGTGACCTTCCGTGACTTCCGTGTGGGCAGCTGCAACTGCCGTGTCTTTGTCTTGCTTTGCTTTTCTTCATAGCTCCTGACGTCATTTGTTAACCTGTGTCTTGGCCGTTGCCCCGATAGAGTGCCGCTTTAGGCAGGACGGGGGTGGGGGTGGGGGTTATTTATGGCCGCGTCCCCCATAGAACAGGGGCAGTCCCGAGCCTCTGTGCAGTCTGTGGGACACGTGTACCCGTGTGCCTCGGCCCGGGCAGGGAGGAGGGTGGTGTCAGAGTGGGCCCAGGGCGATCTGGAAGGGGCTGCGAATTCCAGGGCTTGGCCCGATACGTGGGAAGGTTGCGGGGGTGGGGAGTGGGGATCAGGATTTCCCCCAAACCGGGTCCCGGCTGCCATGTGCACATTCCTGACCCGCTTCCTGGCGGGGGCTGCCGCTCCCAGGAGCCCGCTGCGAGGCCAACACCTTTGATGGGGAGCGCTGCCTCTACGGGGCCCTGAGCGACGCCATCCGCCGGGCCCTGCGCGAGTACAAGCAGGTGACGGCCTCATGCAGGAGGCGGGATTACTATGACGACTTCCTGCAGCGGTGAGCCGGGTGCAGGGCTGGCCGGGAGTGGCGGGGGCGGCCGGGGGGGCCCTCCTGCGGGAGGGAGACCGTGGGAGGCCCGAGCCCAACACCCCCTCGGCCTGTCCCGCCACAGGCTCCTGGAACAGGGCATCCACAGCGACGTGGTGTTTGTGGTGCACGGGAAGCCCTTCCGGGCCCATCGCTGTGTCCTGGGCGCGCGCAGCACCTACTTCGCCAACATGCTCGACACCAAATGGAAGGGCAAGAATGTCGTGGTCCTCAGACACCCCCTGGTGCGTCCCTCCGGGGGGGGGTGGGGGCAGGGGGGACAGCCGGGGGCTTGTGCCAGGAGGCTGCCTCTGACCTTCCCCCCGGCCGTGTCTACCTGCAGATCAACCCCGTGGCCTTCGGGGCCCTGCTGCAGTACCTGTACACAGGTGAAGCCCTGGGCCCTGGCGGGCGTGCGGGCGGGCGTGCGGGTGTCTGTCCAGGAGGAGACCCCGCCAAGGCCTTAGGCCCACCCTTTACCTCCTGGTGCTCGTCCCCTGGGGCGCAGCCTTCCAAGTGCCTGGGGGAGGGGCTGGGCGACAGCGGGCCTGTGCGGCTGCCCAGGGGGCGCCTCCCTCCCATCTGTCCTGGGGCCCAGAGAACTCAGGCAGCGGCTCTCCACGGGGTGGGGGTGGGGGAAACCGAGGAGATGGCCCCAGGAGATCCTGGGGGCGGTGGAGGGCGCCCCTCGGGCCCTGAGCCCCCCCTGCTGCACCCAGGTTGCTTGGACGTCGGCGTGGAGCACGTGAGTGACTGCGAGCGCCTGGCCAAGCAGTGCCAGCTGTGGGATCTGCTCCAGGACCTAGAGGCCAAGTGCGAGAAGGTGTCCGAGTTCGGTGCGTCCGGGCCGCGGGTCCAGGGCGCCGGGCGGGAGGCGGCAGGGCCCCGCCGGGCTCCCTGCAGCTGTGCTCTCCCCCCCCCCCACAGTGGCGTCCAAGCCAGGCACGTGTGTGAAGGTGCTGACCATCGAGCCCCCGCCGGCAGCCCCCCGGCTGCGGGAGGACATGGCCCAGCTGGCCCACTGCGCCCTGCCTCCCGAGCTCCGCGTAAGCGCCCGCGTCCCGTCCTCGCGGGGCCTGCGGCCGGGCGCTTCCCCTTTCTGAGCCTGGGCGCCCTCCGCGGTCGTCGTCGTCTCCTTCCTAAACCCGCGGATGAGGCGGCAGCCCAGCCCTCCGCGATCCTGCTGCACCAGGCTCTTGGCTGGGGCCGCTCTCCCCCCTCCCGCCTGCCCTCAGGGTGTCCTCTCTCTTGTCCCCAGGGGGACCTCGGGGAGCTGCCCTTCCCGTTCCCCGACTTCGTCGACAGCTGCCCCGATGTCTGCTTCCGGGTGGAAGGTTGCCGCTTTCTCTGCCACAAGGTGCCGTCCCCTCCCCCCGGCGCCCCCGGCCCCTGGCCTTGGCCCCCGGCCGGCTGTCCGGCCTCAGGCCCCGGCAGCCGCCCCTCCTGAGCCCAGCCTCCCCCAGGCCTTCTTCTGTGGCCGGAGCGACTACTTCCGGGCCCTGCTGGACGACCACTTCCGAGAGAACGAGGAGCTGGAGGCCCCGGGCGGCCTCCCGGCCGTCACCCTGCACGGCATCTCGCCCGGCATCTTCTCCCACGTCCTCTACTACATCTACAGCGACCACACGGAGGTGCGGGGCTCGGGGGGGGACGGTGGGGACAGGTGCTGGGGCCGGGTCACCGCGGGGCCCGAAGGAGCGCCGAGGCCCACGTTGGCTCCGGGGGGCTGGTCTCCTGGAGGCTGGAGAGGGGTGTGGGGCGTGTGGGTTTCCTTTCCCGCAGGGGGGGCCTTGGTAGGTGCCAGGACAGAAGTGAGTGACAGGCGCTGTATCACGAGCCCGTGACACGTGGGACTCGGTATCAGCCTCCCGGGGTCCCCACCTTCTCCAGTTGGGGGGTGGGGACAGTAGCCCCGAATTAGCGCCACAGAGGGAGCCCCTGAGCTTCCTGCCTCAGGACCGCTGCCCGCTCCCCAGGGTTGGGGTGTCCGTCCCTCTGCGGCGTCTCGGGTCTTCAGCTGCCCCAGAGCGTCCCTAGCACGTGGGCGACATGGGCAGCCGTAGACGGGGCCAAGAGCTTGCGGGGGGTGTGTGTGCAGGAGCCCCCCCCCCCCCCATACGGTGTCTTAAAGGGGAGAGCGGTTTGTATCTCTTCGTGTCTGAGGTCAGTGAACCAGGGCACGTGGCTTGCTGGGGCCCCACTGTCCCCTCCATCTTGTCACCCTGACACGGCGTAAATGCTGTGCGCTGGAGGGTCCCCAGAAGCAGCGTAGCCAGGTAGACGTGGGGGGAGGGTGGCGTTCCTTCCAGTGACACTTTGTTATGAAATGCGGATTGGGCCGGACCCGGTTGGCACGCAGCACCCAGCAGTGTTCCCCTCTGCATCCGGAGGCGGGGGTGCAGGCCGACTCACGCTTTAGGAGGAAGAGGAAGACGAGGCAAGCAGGTTCCGTTGTCATAGGCGGGGGGAGGCCACACACACACACACGTACACACACACACACACACACACACACACGTACCAGTTCTGTTGCCCTGGACAGAACCTAGCGGCTGTGCCTGCCAGCAGGGCAGGCTGGGAAATGTGGTCTCTGCGCAGGATGGCAGCGTGGGGGACGAGCTGGGCCGTGACCTCGGCCCCTCCCTCGCTGGCCTCCAGTAGCGCCCCCGTTCCCAAGCCCGCCAGCCTCTCCATGTGGGTGCCCTCCCCGGCCTCCATCCCTCCTACGGCATAGCTCAGCCCCGTGGCCCCTGCGCCCCAGGGTGCACCTGGCCCGGCCCCGCCCCTCTTGAAGGAGCTTTGCCGCCGCCCCTAAGTGTGGACTTGGGCTCCAAAGCTGGTCTGACCCTGGCTTAGCTGCTCACGAGCTGTGGGATTTCGGGCTGGTGCCTAAACTGCTCTGTGCCTCAGTGTCCCCCTTCTAGAAAGCAGGGGGCCCACGGTTCTGCCTTAAGGTGTCACAGGTAAAGTGCCCGGGTAGGCAGCGCGTGGCCTGGGATGCGCCAGCAGGGGCCTGCCCACGTCTCCGGCCGGCACCCTGTGTCCGTCCAGAGCCCGGGCCGGAGCCCGGCACAGCGGCCCGGTGTGGGTGAGGGGACAGGTAAAGGGAGCCCCCTTCGTGGGGGGCCCCTCCCTCGGCTGGGACAGCACCTTCTGTTTTCCATCAGCCTTCTCAGGCGGGCATGGTTGCACTTCCCGGAGGAAACCGAGGCACCCGGGCCACGCAGCCTGCCTGCGGTCCCACGGCTACAATTTCAGAGCAGTGGTCTGTGGGAGTCACAGCTCGCGCTCTTCCCGCCCCCCCAGGCCCCCCGCCTGCCACCTGGCCTCCAGGCCCGCCCGAGGCCCGCGCCCCCCCCCCCCAGGCCCCCGATGGCCCCGGTGAGCTCGGGGCCCACCCCCCTCGCTGGTCCTTTCTCTGCAGCTGCCCCCGGAGGCGGCCTATGATGTGCTGAGCGTCGCCGACATGTACCTGCTGCCCGGCCTGAAGCGGCTGTGCGGCCGCAGCCTGGCACAGCTGCTGGACGAGGACAGTGTGGTGGGCGTGTGGCGTGTGGCCAAGCTCTTCCGCCTGGCGCGCCTCGAGGACCAGTGCACTGAGTACATGGCCAAGGTCATCGAGAAGGTGGGCGCGCGGGAGCCGTCGGGGGGCGGGGCCCTGGAGCCGTGGGGGGCGGGGCCGTGGGGGCGGGCCTTGGAGCCGTGGGGGGCGGGGCTCGGGAGCCGTGGGGGGCGGGGCCGTGAGGGCGGGGCTCGGGAGCCGTGGGGGCGGGGTCCGGCAGCTGTGGGGGGCGGGGCCCGGGAGCCGTGGGGGGCGGGGCCGNGGACCAGTGCACTGAGTACATGGCCAAGGTCATCGAGAAGGTGGGCGCGCGGGAGGGCCGTGGGGGCGGGGCCCGGCAGCCGTGGGGGGCGGGGCCGGCAGAGGGCGGGCCAAGGACCCGTGGGGGCGGGGCCCGGCAGCCGGGGGGGCGGGGCCGGCCGTGGGCGGGCGGGGGGCGTGGCCCTGAGCCGGCCTGTCCGCAGCTGGTAGAGCGGGAGGACTTCGTGGAGGCCGTCCGGGAGGAGGCGGCGGCTGTGGCCGCAAGGCAGGAGACGGACTCCATCCCGCTGGTGGACGACATCCGGTTCCACGTGGCCAGCACGGTGCAGACCTACAGCGCCATCGAGGAGGCACGGCAGCGGCTGCGGGCGCTCGAGGACCTGCTGGTGTCCATCGGCCTGGACTGCTGACCGCCGGCTGCCGGCCCCGTGGCAGCCCGCGTGGACACGTGTGTGCACATGCATGTGCGGCCCGTTCTTCTGTTCCTTGTCCCCTCGACGGCTCCGTGGTGGCAGAGGGGGCTCGGTAGGGTGGCCCTCACCTCCCCTACGTCCAGGGCCCGGGAGGAAGGTCAGGGTGAGTCCCTTCCCCCAACAAAAGCCAGCCCCCGAGGCCCTGGGGCTGGGCACCACTCAGGGAAACCTGGGGTCAGGGTCTGGGGTTGGGGCTGGCCTCCCCTCCCCCCGGACCCCCCTGACCCACCCCCCCCGACCCCCCTCTCCTGGCCCTGGCTTCCAGGCCAAGCCCAGCAAGCAGGCTTCTGCTGGGCATGGGGTTGGCCCCGAGGAGGCAGAAGAGAGGAGTGTGTGTGTGGCAATAAAGCTTGAATTCGCTGTGGCAGCCTGAGCCTGTGTCGGGGGTGGGGGGGAGCACAGGGCAGGAGTTGGGGCGGGCCAGGGAGGAGCTCTGGATTCGGGTCCCTCATCAGTGCCCAGCAAGGGCTCCTGGGGGGCTGGGGCTGCCTGCGTCTGCGAGTCCGAGGAGGCACCCCTTCTCTGGGGGGCCCTGAGCTCTCCCGGCTGGGTCCAGCCCCTGCAGCGCTCGGACTCGCCTCCGGCACGGCTTCAGGCCTGGACCCTCTTGGTGACGTGTGACCTCAGTGGCCCTGGGGGAGGATTGGCGGGAAGGCTGACCGAGGCACTGCAGCGCGGCTTCCCGCTCCAACCAGCAAGAGCGGGCTCTGCCCCGGACTTTCCCAGCGCTCGTTGATGGTCCAAGTGCCGGCGGTGGGAGGCGGCCCAGGGGCCCGGGCTAAGCCCCAGCCTGGCCCCACCCCCGGCCCTGGCTGTGGGGAGCCCCGCGCCAGGAGGGGCCGAGACCGGCGTCCACCTTCCCACGGCCCAGGCCTCCTGGCCTCTCCCCCTTCCCAGAATGCCCTGCGGGCCGTCCCCCCAGTCCCTTGGGCCCTGAGGCCTGCCCCGTTCGGCTCCGGGAACGGAGTGGGGGTCCTGGTGCTCGAGTGGGTGCTCCCCGCCCTTCGTGCCCTCCTGTTGCTTCCAGAACTTTCTCTCTCTCCAGTGCTTTTCATCCATTCTGGTCTGGTGTGTCGGTCACGTGGGGGAAGGAAGGTCAGACGTAAGATCCGGCGAGTCAGTTCAACAAGGTAGCCAGCGGTGGGGGGAGGGGGGGTGACCAGCATGGGGAGGTGAGCCTGCCAAGTGGACAGCGGGGCCTGCCGGGTGGAGGGCACGGTTTGGGCAAGGGCCCGGGAGACTGAAAAGGCCCCGGATGAGACTGGGGGTGAAGGGTCAGCATGACCAGAGCCCAGGCCTCCCGGGACCAGAGTTCCCACCCTGGCTCTGCCTCTTTACTGCCTGGCCGTAGCTCTGTGCCTCAGTTTGCCCAGCTGTGAATTGGGAGGACTCTGAGAGTGCCTCCCGTCTCGCCTGGGGCATTAAGAGCGAGTCACTGCTCCCCGTGCCGGGCCCTGCAGGGCCAGGGTGCTGGGCCTGTGGTGGTGGTTCATGCCGGCTCCTCCCAAGGTGTGGAGCGAGTGGCGGGTGGGACTTGCAGCTTCGCAAGGTCACTCCAAGGTCACTAGGCTCCGGGCGCCCAGACAGGAAGGGCGGTACCACGGCCCCACCTGAGGCCACGCACCACCTCTCTGCGCGCCAGGGCGTGTAGTAAGGGGTTTAAACATGAACATGATTTCTTTAATGACGATGCATTTTTTAAAATATGGGGTAAGTAGGGGTAAAAACGACCTCGTATATCAAACCCATCTGTTTTACAGCTGTTATTTGAAATCGTGTTTATTTTATGACAAATTTAAGTAAAAATATAAGTGAGATTTAAATGTTTATTGTTGAGAGAGAGTGGGAGAAGGGTGGGGGCAGAGAGAGGGGGAGACACAGAATCTGAAGCAGCTCCAGGCTCTGAGGTGTCAGCACAGAGCCCGACGCGGGGCTCGAACCCACGAACTGTGAGATCATGACCTGAGCCGAAGTCGGACGCTTCACCGGCTGAGCCCCGCAGGCGCCCCTGTAAGTGAGATTGAAGAGGAAGCCTCTGGAAGTGACACCTCAGCAGGTCGCCGACATCAAGGCTGGGGAGGGCGCCAGCGGGTCGGCAGCGCCCCCTCCCCTGCGGCCCCCTCAGCAGCGGCCTCGGGCACCCCAGCCACGCCACACCCTCCGCACTCTCCCCGCTACTTGTGGTCAGAGGAGGGCAGAGGCTCGTGTAGGAAGGTGTTCGCTGCGGTGTCGCAGCCACACAGGAAACGAGGAGGAAGGAGGCCCCGGCGGGCAGAGCGGGAAGGAAATGACAGCCGTGTGGCAGAACTTCCTGCGGCCGAGGGGGTGCTGGGGCAGCCGGTGTCTGCAGGGAAATGCGGGGGCCCGTCCAGCCCGCCTTGGCGCGTCCCGCAGGCCCGGGCCCGCCCCCCAGCGTGCGGGCGAGGTGGGGCTCCCGAGCGGCCGGGCGCACACACCTGTCCCTCCGCAACCGCTTTACTTCATTCCCGCTGAAGTTCCACGGGGACGTCGGCGCCGTCTATCCCAACGCGGGATAGTCCCCTGAAAAATAGATCAGCTGGATGCGGACGGAACAGGCAACACGAACAGCTTGTGTGTAAGATGTCGGGTGGGGCCGGCCTGGCGGACTCCCTGGAAGAGACCACGAGCGCCGGCCGCCAGGGGCGGAGGCGAGTTCAGCAAGGTGCTGTGCTGAGTCCTGCCCGAGGAAGCCTCAGTCATCCTGAGGTCTTTATTGAAAATGCTGCTGTCTGGTGCATCCTGAATTTGTCTTGCATCACGTTTTCCTTAACGGCTGTTCATTTTCGATAGGTGGGGGGGGGGCAGTGGGAGGGGGACCGAGGATCCTAAGTGGGCCGCACGCGGACAGCAGCGAGCCCGAGCCCGACGTGGGGCTCCAATTCCCGAACTGCGAGTTGACGGCCTGAGCTGAAGTCGGATGCTCGACGGACTGAGCCCCCCGGCGCCCCTCCTTACCTAAATGAGAGCGACACCACCAACCCCCCAAAGCTCGTGGACAGACTGGGGCGCCAAGAGGAAGCGCCCATCAGGAGCGGCCGCTCAACCACTGTGAAGGTCCCTGGGAACTTCCATCCCCTCCTGGAAGCTGGACCCGCCGCAGTTTGGAGCCCACCTTGTGAGCTTTCTTGCCTGAGCGTTCTGGAGGGGGGCACGCGCTCCCTCTGCGCCCCTTGGCCCTCAAGGGTCATAAACCCTTGTGGATTTTACCTCTTCAGTAGCCACTGCCTCAGTCTGCCCTTCTTTGCCCCCACTGTGCGCACCCTGGTCAGGGCCCCGCCTCACCCCCAGCTCATTCTCACCCCCTTTTGGCAGATACTGACCCTGCACATCCGATCTTGGAAGCCTCCGTGCACACGCGTGGTTCTCGGGCACAGCCAGCGGCCCCTCTAGTATCCGAGCCCGGCTCGCCCCCCAGCCTCCCATGTGGCTGTGGCTGTGGCTGTGGCCCCGGGCTCTGGATGTGATCTGAGACCCTAAACGCAGCCTCTGATGTACTTCCTGAAAGGCACGTGCCTGTCCCTTCCCTCTCTTCCCCCCCAGGCTGGGCTGAGGACGCACTGGCACACCTGGGGCAGCCATTTTGGACCAAGTGCCATGTGCTCAAGACTTCCCCTGCAGTGAGAGGGGCGGGGGGGGGGGGGGAGGGGGGGAGGAAGAGGCCAGGCTGCCCCTCCCCGCTAGCGTCCATTTTGGTCACGGCCATGTCCTCTGAGGACTGTCCCCCCCCCATAGCACTGTGTTCCACCGACACCCCTCCAGTCAGGGCTCCCCGTGGCTGGTCCTGATGCTACGCCCACCCCAGCGGACCCCTTCAGTACACTCGCCTCGCCTGGGTGCCGCTGGGGGTGCCGACCCGAGCTCCCTCCAGCCCCCAGCCCTGCCCTGGGCCCCTCGCCACAGCACCAGTGACCCCTCTCCCGTTCATCTCTCTGCAGGCCTGCCTCTGGGCGGGTCCACTCTGCTCCCACCAGGCCCTGGAGAGGCAGGTGTGTGGCCTGGTGTTGGGGGCCGCCCCCGGGCCTGCGTGGTGCCTGGCGCAGCCCGCCTTCCCCCCTCGTGGGGCAGGTATTTAGCAGGGACCCCTGGAGACCAGAGGCCTCACGCAAGGACACACCGTCCTGCAGCGCCGTTCCGGGGGGCGGGGGGGGGGCAGAACACAGGTCCTGGCCCAGGGCAGCCCGAGCTGGGGGGGCGGGGGGGAGGCCGGGAAGGAGCCGGGGGAGGCGCGCTGGCTTTAGACCCGGTGGTTAGGAGAGGAAGCTGGCGTGTGGGGGCCGGTGGCCACAGGACGAGGGTGACGGCAGGGAGGCCACGGGCGGCTTCTGAGCGAGAAGGGCCACCACGTGGGACTCCCAACACCCTGTCGGCCACCGTGCCTGCGGGGAAGACTGAAAGGGCACCCCGAGGAGGGTGCTGTCGCCACCTGGTGGGAGGAGATGGCGACAGCAGTGGGGCCCGGGGGAGGTGGCCCCCAGGAGAGGGGCCCGGGTGGGAGGAGGCTGCGCGCAGGAGAGCCGCCGGGGCCGTGCAGTGGGGTCCAGAGCGGGGGCGGCCCGGGCTCCCCAGGACCGGCGGTGCCGGAGCGGGAGACAGCAGGCGCGCAGTCCGCTCCGGGCTCGGGTCCCCAAGAACGGAGGAGGCACCGTCAAGGCCCCACCACACGCCGGCTTGTATCAGACGACGGGCTCTGCCCAGCCCGCGACTGCGCCTCGCGAGCCGGCCCGCCGGCCCCTGTACAGGGAGTGGCTGGACTCGGAGCAGACAGACAGACAGACGACAGCACCGTGCAGAAAACACCCGGTTTATTAGGATTAGCTGTGGAGTACATGGTTCCTTTGGGAGTTCTGAACTGATCACGAGTCCCCAGTAACGGTACATGGGTGGGGGTGCGGCTGAGCACAGACGATAACTGGTAAACGGCTTAGAAAATCACGGTGACCCCAACGGGTTGTGTTAGCGATCGGTGAAAAGAAAGAAAAGGTAGCGGGGGCCTTGCCACGGGTGCGGAGCAGAGCGGGCGGGGTTTCGTGGCCTCCTCCAGCGCTCTCACCGCGAGCCCCGTGTCCCCTGGAAGCTGGGGGGCCCGGCACCCCTCCATCCGCCCCCCCTGCAAAGGAGCAGCGCCCGTCTGCCTGCTACAGGTGGCATCACTTCCCGGAAAGACAGTCAGGCATGAAACCCACTTCTGAAGGGGCCGGTGAGACCTCGTTCCGGGGGAACGTGGTGCGTCCGCCACAGCGCGTGGGCCTGGTGTCCCCATGGGTCGTCCCCCTGGCGCTTCTGTATCCGTCGCATCTCCGGGATCCGTCTTCTCACCTGCTGGCGGCCGGGCCGCGTGCAAGTGGCTTCCTTCCCTTCCAAACCCAGCACGGAGCACGGAGGCGTCAACACCGAGCACGAACTCAGTTCAAGACTCACGCAGCCGTCGCACGGCAGGCGGGCACGTGGCCCCGCGCGGGACTCCGGACCCAGCTCCTTTCGGCCCCCACGCCTGCTCATTGTCAGCAGGTGGCGCAGTGTGGCAGTGTCTTCAGCAGACACGCAATGGTGACTGACGCGGAGCTGCCATAGAATCTCGGTTAGAGCTTTCCTACAAATAAACCCACGCGTCCAGAAAGGTCCCCCGGTCAGACCACGAGCCCCACGTGCGGCTGGGGGAGCAGCCCTGGCGGCACACGCTTCCGGGAGGGCGCGGGGACCTGGTGTGACCCGGCCGTCGCAGCTCCGGGCGAGAACTCCAGATCTGGGTGCAGGGGTGTCTTGAGGTTTGGGGGCTCGCGGGGGGGGGGGTCTGCTTTTCCTCAGCTGAGGAGCACACTCACCGGGGGCCCGGCGGGCCCACCTCCCCTCTCAGCGCATTGTCTACATCGTTCTCCTCCGAAGGAAGAGGAGCCAGAGAAGGAAGACTGGGCAACGAAAGCCTCTCTCGTGGGGACATGGGCGCCGCCCGGCCCCCGCCCCCACCGGAGGGGCAGGAGAGCACAGACCTAGGCGACCACGACTTCCAGCTGGGGGCCGGGGTCTGCCCGCGGGTGGGCGCCCCCGGCTCTCGTGGCCACACCGCGGCGTGGTCAGGGCCCCTGGATGGAGAGCAGGGGGGACCCCCCTCTGAGGACGCCCGGATCGAGCCCCAGAAAAACGGGGCGTGGGTGGGGGCGGCACTTCCTGCTGCTGAAGGAAGAGGGCCTGCAGGGGAGCGGCCGCCTCGTCCGGGGCCTGGGGGTGCCGCCCCCACCCGGGGTCGCCTCGTGAGGTAACAGCAGTCCCGTTTGAAAGTGAGAGTACTCGCAGTGGCCGGTGACCCCGTTTATTGCTGGCACTGAGTGAGGGCCCGTGAGAGAGGCCGGGCAGGCCTGCCGGGCCCCCTGCTGGTCGCCGGCGTTCTGCGGTGGCTTCGGGGGCTGCGGCCCTGGGTGGGGCCGCGGAGCTGGGACTCTCTCGTTCTGCCACCAGAGGTAGCTGTGCGGCCAGCCTGGAGGCTCCCAGGGCGGCGCGGGGACGGGGACGGGCTGCGCTCCGGGGCCCCACTTTCCCGGGGTTGCACCTTAGCGCCTTCCTTAACCAGGACCCTCCCGCGTGGGGGCATCGGGCTCCCCGACCTCCAAGCCCCCCTTGGCCCCCCCCCCCATAGTCTCTGCTTTAGAATATACGTTATATATTAGACACTTGATCTTTGAGACACCTGCTCCCTCATAGCGGCAGGGACCGTCAGGCGCGAGGAAAGGTGGCCCCCCAACGCGTGAAGCCCTGGGTGGCGGCCCGGCTCCCCGGCAGGAAGGGGGCGTTTCCTGCCCAAGTCCTCGTTCTGGGCCAAACCTCACCCCGTCCCAAAGCCCAGCTCCAGGCTGACGAGGAGCTGACGCGGGTTGGGGGCGGCTCGAGGAAGTCCTGGGCATCTTCTGGGCCTCAGCGGGGGGGTGGGGGGGCACATGAGACTGCCCGGGGGAGGTGACGCCTGCCACCTCGCCCCTCGGCCAGAGAGAGGCCACCAGGCGAGGCCAGCTGTGGGGGCGTCCTGGGGTGGGGGCCGGGGGGACGGACAGGAGGGGAGTGTCCTCTGATTATTGCAGTCAGGTGTCCTGGGAACCTTGTGGGGGCTGGGGGAGGGGCAGGGCAGAGGCTCGGCTTGGTTTTAAGGAGCTTCGCGCACGTTCTCTCCCCGGGAACCTGCCTGTGGCCCTTCTCTGTTTCTGCATCAAGTGTCTGTCCCTTAAAGTAGATCCAGTAGCAGACAGCCCGACCCATGACAAGGATGTCTTGGTTGAAAGGAAATTTAAACCTTCTCTGGTGTGTGCCCCCCACCCCCGCCCCCTGCAGGCCGCACCTGACAAGCCAGCTTCTGCCCTTCCTCCCGCCACTTCCCCGACCCACCGCCCGTGGGCCCGTCACGCAGCCGGTCGGCTCAGGGCGGGGACCCCTCTCTTGCGGCCGCTGTCCTTTGGGAGACCCACAGGTTAATCTCGTGGAAGACGGAGTTGGTGACTTCGGGAAGCTCTTTGTGGAGAACGTGGTAGGCACCTTCGTAAATCTGCGATTGGGAGAGACGGGAAGTCAGGGCCACAGGAAGGGACAGGGGCAGGCAGGGAGGCGGCGGGCGGGCGGCCGGCGCTCCAGGCCCTCTCCCCCTGCGTCGAGACGCCCTTCTTCGTGCGGTCGTTGTCTTTCGATCAGACGATGCCCCACATAAATGAAAACGCCCCAGCTGTGCTAGCATGACCTCTGCACGCCGGAGATCGGCCTCACCCCTCCCTGGAGCGGCCTGGTCCGGTCGCGCGTTTTTAAAACCATCCACGGGCTGGTGACTCAGGAATTTACATCCCCAGCCAATCCCTGGACTCTACATGGGTGCCCCCGACCGCCTATTTGCCGTTGCCGGGAGGGCTGCTACCAGCCATCTCCAAATTTCTTTTTTCTTTCTTAAACTGTGGTTAAAAAAAAAATAACAATTGGGGCGCCTGGGTGGCTTAGTCGGTTAAGCGTCCGACTTTCGCTCAGGTCATGATCTCGCGGTTCGTGGGTTCGGGCCCCGCGTCGGGCTCTGTGCTGACTGCCAGCTCAGAGCCTGGAGCCTGTTTCAGTCTGTGACTCCCTCTCTCTCTGACCCTCCCCTGCTCACGCTGTCTCTCTCTCTCTCCTAGAAATAAATAAAACATTTAAAAAATTAAAACAACAACAACAACAACAAAATTTACCACCTTGATCTTTTTCGAGTGCACAGCTCAGTAGTGTTAAGCATTTTCACGCGATTGTGCAACAGAGCTCTAGAACTTCATCATCTTGCAAAACCGAAACTCGGGTCCCGTTAAATTCCCTCCTCCCCCCTCCTCCCCCCTCCTCCCCCCCTCCTTCCCCCTCCTCCCCCTGGCAACCGCCATTTGACTTTCTGTTTCTATGGGTTTTGACTACTTGAGATACTTCACACAAGTGGAATCAAACAGTATTTTTTTCTTCCGCGATTGGCTAATTTCACGGAGCACCGAGTCCCCAAGGTTCATCGTGTCATAGCACGGGTCACGATCGCCTTCCTTTCTAGTCATTGGTCTAGACTGCATTTTATTTATCCGCTCACCCTTCGATGGACACCCGGGTTACTTCCCCCGCTTGGCCGTGGCGAATGATGCCTCCCAGAGCACGGGTGGGTGGGCATCTTTCAGAGGCCCTGCTTCCCTGTCTTTTTCCGAGTTTCTAATGGGACCCTCAATGGGCAGCTCGACATGGAATTCTCGATAGGCTGCTTGCACACAGCCCAATCTTTCCAACCTGTGGTCTGTGCGTGCTGCCCCTCATTCTAGAACATTCTTCCACTGTGCGCCTCATCTGAAGCAGGGGCTTCACCCGCCCTCTGCTCGGCCAGACCACCCCTGGCCCCGACCCCCTGCGCCGTCAGATTTCTCGCACAGCTGGCTGGGAGAGTCGCGGACTCTGTTCCCCAGGCCTGGTACACAGCAGGTGCCCCGTAGTGCCTGAACTGAAGACACGGATGGGGCGGGGAGCGAGTAACTGAGTGGCCTTCCTGGTGCCGGGCGTGCCACGCGGGGGACTGCCACGAGCCAGCTTTCCTCTCCCTTTTCTCCTTCTCTCTCTTCACCCTCGTGTGTGCACCTGGTGTTTGGTGTGGGCCAGGGGTGGCTCTCCATGCCTGCGCACGGGGAGCATTTTATGGCTGGCAGGGGGGATGCGGGGTGGAGAGCCGCACCGGCTCTGTCTGAGGACGTGAGTTCAAATCCCGATTCCGCCACTCGGCCGGTGTGGAATCCGTGTGACTTCGCCTGCTCTCCTTATAACCGAGCAGGAAGCGGCCCTGGACGCGCGGGGTGCCCGCACACGGTTGCTCGGTGCTGGGGACCTGGCCAAGGACATGTCTGTTCCTGGACGCACCCGAGGGCTGTGTCTGCCTAGCCAGCCACACAGCACCACCCGCGGGGGCAGCTGCCACTTGACGGGGCCCTAGCAGGTGCTCCTCTGCCCGGGGATCTCCCCGGTTCTGTCAGCAAACAAAACGGGCACCTCTCAACCCCACAGCTACATCTGCCATCTTGGCCACAGCTAGGGGCCCAGGCAGAACCCACGCCCTTGGCCGTTGGCCGTGGCCAAGCTGAAGACAGTCTCTCGGGAGACCCAGGTGTGGCTCTCTTCCGGGATGACTCAGTGTTCTCTGCTTCCTTTCAAGCTCGTCCACGCGAATGGTTAGCTAATGGCCTGTGCACTCTCTTAGAGTTAAGGGGTGCCCGGTATCCCTGGTACTTGTTCCCCGGGGGAGACCAAGGGACACCACCTTCCCCCACCTTGGAGCCGCTGGGGTAGCTGCTCACCTTGAGTGTCTTGTCCTGGCTCTTGGAGGACTCCATTAGCAGGTAGGCCCCTTTGCTGTCACAAAGGCGGTCGGCAGAGCCCTGGAGCAGCAGGAAGGGCAAGGTCAGCTTGGGGAGGGCCCGCTCCACCCGCGTGACCGCGTTGAGCAGCTGGATGCCGAAGCACACCTTCAGCCCCGCGCGGCAGATCAGGGGGTCCGCGTTATAAATGTCGACCTGCAGGAAGGAGAGAGACGGGGTTCCAGTGACGAGTGGGCAGGGGGCCCCCGCCTGGGGCCCAGACCTGTTTCCTGGTGGTCTGCCTCCGGCTCCGGCCTGATTCTAGCTGATCCATGGATGCCAGCCCTTCCGGAAGGCGGACCGCACGGCTGTCGGCGCCCGTCCCCCCCGCCTTGCTGCCCACGGACTGTTCCGAGCCTGTATCTGGATGTGACCAGCATCCCAGCGTTCGCTCTGAAGAGGTCTTGGCGTTGATCCGTGTGGATTTTGTTTTTTCTCCAAGTCCGTCCACCTGGACCTCATGTCTGCTTGGCGGGCGTGGCCGAGGAGCGCCTACGAAGTGCTGGGTGGAGAGGGGCTCCGCCGGAAGGCATGGGGCTGCTGTGAGGGGCCCCGAGGGCACTTGGCCCGGGGCAGGTCTGGGCCGCAGAGGTCCCTCACCACCCTGACAAGCAGCCTGTCGCCACGCCTGCGCCCTCAGAGGCGGGTCCTCCCTCCTCAACCATCAGCCCACCCGGTCTTTGGTGGGGCCTCTGGTAGGATCCCCCTGGCACCCTGGCTCTCCCTACCTCGGGTTAGTCTCTGGCTTGACTCCCTGCCTCTGAGGGGACAGTGGGGTGCCTGGCACTACGGCCCGAGGTGGGGCATCTGCCCCACAGAATCTGGGTAACAGGTTTCTAGAACTCTCTGAGGCCCATACGGGCAGGCGTGAGCCCCCAACACCCCTTCACTCACTTTCCTCATCCTTGCCAGTGAGTTCTTAGCCAGTCGGAGAAGTGCCCTGTGGTGTCAGGACGGGGTGAGGGGGCAGAGAAGCCACGGGCTCGAAGCTTACGGGGCAGAGATGCGTGTGAGGCCACCGGCGGGTCCGCTGAGCTCACTCTGACCCTCCAGGTGTGGGGGCTCTATCTCCTCTTCTTTACCACCCCCTCCAGGGCCTCGGCCAGAATCCTGGATCCGGGCCAAGAAGGGGCAGGCTTGCTGGGTCACCCCTGCCGACCCCGGACTCCTCCACGCGGGGGCTGAGCACGGCTCGGCTGACCGTTTGCGAACAGCCACACAAGGTGGATTAACACTTCCTGCAGCCGAGCTGGCGGGACTCCTGCGGGGCCGGCCATCTGCTGGGGGGGGGGGGGGAGGGGGGGGAAGGGCTGGCGAGGACAGGGCCCGGCAGCGCAGGTCGTTCAGGGTCTGCACGGAGGCCTGTTGGGGGAGCGCCCCGGGGCCCACCAGGGAGCCCTGGGCCCCAAGTCTGTCCTACACAGATGCCAACGGCAGCCGCAGGACCTTGGACCGGACACAGACTTTGTGCTCAGCGTGGGGCCGGCTGTCGCGGGCAGGGTCCCGTTTGGGAAACAGAAATAAGGGTAGCTGACATTTATTCCTGAGCTCTCCTACGTCTGGCACTAAGCGTACAACCCATTCAGGCTTCAGGCCCTTCACGACCGCTGGCTGAGCAACGGCTCCCAGTGCCCCCGTCTGGCAGAGGACGAGGCTGTCATTAGGTACCCAGGTCCGGTTTTCCCCAGAGAACCCTGGGTGCTCAGTGTGCAGCGCTACCGCCCGGAAGGACTACATTTCCCAGCCTCCCTTGCAGCGGTGTGGTCACATGACTAGGTTCTGGCCAATAGGGAGTGAGCAGCTGTTCAGGGTGCCCTTTCTGGTGGGGGAAAGGCTTATGCTACCGTTGACCCTCCCGTACAGACACAGGGACGAGGGCTGCCCCGGGACCCTGTGGCCCAGAGAAGTCCCCGCGCAGGGAAACAAGACCCTCCTGCTAAACCCCCGTTGCTGTGGGCGCGGCGGGCGGGCTGGCGGCCCGGGCGAACGGCTCTGCGTGCCGCGCTGCAGGGCCCTGGCGGTGCCCTTACGGGACCAGGCCCGAGCCCGTCAGGCACCTGCGTCCTGAGGTGGCCGGACACTTGGCTGACCCGGATCGCCCGGGCACGCGAGGGCCCTCGAGGCGTCCGCTCCCGGGTTTAATTGCTCTGACAATCTGAGTGGCTTCCTGCTCGTGGCGATCGGCTTCCTTTTCCCACGCCGTGATCACGTAGGCCCTGTTTACACAATGGTCTATTACGGGCCTAGGGAAGGACACACAGACGAGCTGGGGAAAGGGCAGGCCGTGGTATAAACTGTGGCCGGGGTGGGGGGGCGGGGGGCGGAGGGAACCGGGACCAGGAGGGAAGAGGAGGGCTGAGGCTCAGAGGGCCCGGCCCTCCCTCCCCCAGGTAACCATCTGGCCCAATCACGGCAGCCTCGGCTTTCTGACAGCGCAAGGTCTACATTGGCCCAGTGTCCTCTTTTGGGGGTGGGGTGTGTCCCGTCATCCCCAGGAAGGAGTGGACAGGGTCCGAGCCGGAGCACAGGTCTGCAGAACTAGCCCAGGCAAAACCGGACGGCCCCAACAGATGACTTACTGGATGATCCCATTTCCACGACAGTCTTGAAATGACAAAGTGAGAGAACGTACTAGCGGCTGTTGGGGCTTGGGAGGGGGGAGGGGAGGGGAGGGGTAGGGAAGCGAGGTGGAGGGATTCTGGGGCTCGACGGCATCCATGTCGGCATCCTGGTTGAGAGAGTGTCCTACAAACTGGCAAGCTGTCAGCACTGCAGAAAACTGAGTCAGGGTACAGGCGGTCCCGCCCGTATTATTTGTCACAAGTATGTGTGAACCACAATTATCTCCAGATGATTAAAACACATACTACCTAATTAAAACCACATACTACCTCTCACGCCCAGCTCCCTCTGTTTTTTGGACCACAGCTGGTCCCACCATAGAGGACAGTGTCTTCTGGGGACATGTCAGCCAGAGGCTGTGGATCTGAGTCCGAGGGACTGAAGTTTTGCTCCAGAGGACTGATTTCTGGGGACACCTCCCTCGCTGAGACCTGAAGTCCTTTTTCTTGGTTGGGGTAGTCTACTGACCACTGTAAGGAAGACCGGAGGAGTGAGGGCCACCCAGCCCTGCGATCTGGGCGAGGCTCTTCTCTCCTAGAGCCGGCTTGCCCATCTGTGAAATGGGCTGATAGTGGAAGCGCCTCGGGAAATGTGACATGATACAGCCACACACCCAAGCCCAGGGTAGAGTCCGCAGTGGCACTGTTGATGTGCGGGTGGCATCCGAGTCTGAGACTGGGAAGCAAGGGGGGACGAGCCCCAGACACCCTGACCCACAAGATCTCGGGTGAGGCCCTTCTCCTTCCTGGGCTTCAGTTTCCCCCCAGAGGGGAACCTCGAAAGTTCCTTTTGGTTATACGTTTCATACTCTGTGAATATCTCCTGGCCTCTCGTGTGTGTTTTACGATCCTCGAGTACGTAGCTGTTTTCCGAGGCTCTCAGTGCTGTCAGGGAGGTTGAACTTGACAGCCAAGAACGGGCCAACTCGGGCTTCTGGCTTCTGCACCAGGTCTCTCTGTGGGAAGGAGCTTGGCCCCAAAGCACAGTAAATATAGCTGCAATCCACAGCTGGGGGTTTTCTTAAGCCTTTGGTTGGGTAAAATCTAGGCCCCACCTCTCTAGTCAAAGCTCTTGGCCTATCTTTTAAAAACCTGTTTGGTGATGGAATGCAAAATTCCATTTTTAATTAGAATGCCATTAAAAATAACTAAGAAACTGAGCCTTAACTCTGTGCCAGGTGCTATGTTAAGGGCTTTATTTAGATTTGCTCACTGGCCCTTCTCAGAAACCTTCTGTGGGGACTGGTATTACACCGTTCCATCCGTGAGGAGCCTGAAGCTCAGAGAGGCTACGTGACGCACCCAAAGTGACCCAGCAATTAAGGGGCAGAGGTGGGATCAGAGCGTAGGCAGCTGGGCCCCACGTTAGCAGCCTGCACCACTCACCAGGCTATGCTACCTGCCTAGAGAAGTGACAGTGAAGGTGGGTCCCGGGCTCTCAGACGGCCAAGAGCTGTGGAGGTGGCCCCTCCAGGAAAGAAAGGGGTGGGTCCCTGGGAGCCCCAGAAACATCTGGGCCTGACGGATAATGAAGTGATCCTTCACAGGCTGCCAAAGGGCGTGGCGGCGCCCCCTGGGCACCCACACACAGGTGCTGTTCCACGTGACACCGTCTCCCACCTCGCAGAGAAATACAGCCCAGCTTCCCCTCGGGTGCCTACAGATGCAGCTCACGGGGCTGTGTTCTCATGGATGCCAGGTTCATGCAATATCCTAAAGGCAACTGAGAATTCACCACGGACATCGGCCTGAATGTGAACTGCGCGCCGAAAGCGGGCTTGCCCGGCACCCTCAGTGGGAGCTCCGGCGCACCCTCTCCCGCTGCACCTCGGCTCACCATGCAGGGGCACACGGCTCCCAGAGAACCCGCTTCCTGCCAGCTTCAGGGCCAAGTATGGACCCCTGCGAGGCTGCGTGCGACGGGCTCTGGCCCCTGCCCTGCTCCCCCCGCCGATGCGCCCCCTCCCCCATCCCCAGTACCGCTGAGCCACGTCCAGCTGTCCCCGGAGCCTGGCTGTCCGTAGAGTCTGTCCGCATTCAGCTCAGCTCAGCTGCCCCTCGCTCCGGGAAGCCACCCCCCCCCCAAGCCTGGGGGCTCCGTGAGCCGTCACTGCTCCTGTCCCTCCTCCGTGTGCCCATGTCCTGTACCTAGAGACATGTCCAGTTCCCAGAATCCCCTTCTCATGCCCCTCTCCCTGTCTGCTGGCGAACCCCGGTCCCCTCTTCAGGGCCAGTTCAGGTTTCCTCCACGGACAGGTGCCCAGGCACTTTGGGGAAGCTGGAGCTTCTCTCCTCCCGTATCTTTAACACGTCGTTAGCTGATGCGATAACAACGTCATGTGGCGTCTACACCGCAGGAGGCTGCAGCCTGGCTCCCCAAGGGGCCTGAGGATCAGTGACACCGTGTGGTTTCCAAGGTCATGACCCGGGATCTGGGTCCGGACTCAGCCCCTGATGCGGGAAAGCCTGTGCTCTTTCTGCCAAGCCCGCTACCTGCCTCTTTGCCCTCGGCCGGACCACCCTTCTGCCCCGTGA